ACTGTGTCGTTTTAAGAAATATATATAATAGACTATGTCCAATGTGGATCAATGAATCCCTTTTAAAAATCCCAAAAACTACAGGTTTTTTCTGCACTAAACATGCTGCTCCTACATTAATATGGCTTTGTTTACTCAAAATTTGCCCTCTAGTAATGAATGAAATGGGATAATAGGAATCTGGACATGTAGTTCAGCTAGCAGGAGAGAAAGCAGTTTAGCCACACAGCACCTATCTTCTCTGTAAGCAAAACATTTGGGGGCCAAAAAATGGGCAGTGATGAAACCACAAGTATCTTAGAGGAAATGTTTGTTATACTACGATTCCACACTAGTGTATGCTATGATACCATAGTACAAAAGTTCCCCTAAAATATTTTCATCACTGCCTATTTTTTTGGCCTAAAAAATGTGCTCAGAAAAAAATGTAGCAAAATTTTGGATTTTTTTACATCAATACATACACATGTATATCGGGGTAGCTATTGATAGGAAAAAAATACTTCTTAGAACAAAGTCTCAAAAGATCCCTAAAAGGTCTTTGCCCTAAAGTCCTATCTAGTTTCATAAAAAGAAATTAAAATTTTACAACTTTCCAGCAAAATGTGACCAATTTATTAAAATCAGGATCAAATGGACCCAATTCAGTGAGAGACTTAAGTACATTTCTTACCTTAAGTACAGCAGAAATAGGGCCAATGAAAGGACTTAAAATATATGCATTCTGAAACAGAACTGAGAATATTTTGCATGTGCCCAAAACTAGTTTAGAAAGCTTAGATCAGATGAAGAGCCTGATTCTCCAAGTGCTTATGCGCAAAACAATAAATGTAATGGGACCACTTCCACAACCAGAGTTACTTGTGTATGTAATTGTTTCTAGAACTGAATCTTTAGAATGTAAGCTTCTTGGAACCAGAACCCTAGGCTGGATTTGTCATTGCCCTTCATCTTGCATAGTCTTTATCTCAGTGTAAAGTAGATGTAAATTGATACTCGTCTAATTTGATTGCATTTTACTTCTAATGAGCACCCATGTAACTAACCTGAAAAATGCAGAGCAATGGCAAATCAGGATCTATATTAATTTGTAGGGGCTTAAGCCTGCAAACACTTACCTACAAGAAGTTCAGAGTTATAGAATCATTGGACACTCCATCCGAGGGTACTGAAGGCACTGGCTGATGTCATTGCCCAGCCACTGGCAAGAATATTTGAGCAGTCGTGGCGCACAGGCCAGGCCCCGGAGGACTGGAAAAGGGCCAATGTGGTCCCTATTTTCAAGAAGGGGAGGAAGGAGGATCCAGGCAACTATAGGCCAGTTAGTCTCACCTCCATCCTTGGCAAAGTCTTTGAGAAGATTATTAAGGCTCATACATGCGAGAGCCCAGCAGGAAAAATTATGCTGAGGGGAAACCAGCACGGGTTTGTAGCAGGTAGATCATGCCTGACTAATCTAGTCTCTTCTTATGACCAGGTTACAAAACACCTGGATGTAGGAGTAGGGGTTGACATCGTATACTTAGACTTCAGGAAGGCCTTTGATACGGTATCCCACCCCATACTGGTGAACAAGTTAAGAGGCTGTGACTTGGATGACTACACAGTCCGGTGGGTGGCAATTGGCTAGAGGGTCGAACCCAGAGAGTGGTAGTGGATGGGTCAGTATCGACCTGGAAGGACGTGGGCAGTGGGGTCCTGCAGGGCTCGGTCCTTGGACCGATACTCTTCATTGTCTTCATCAGTGACTTGGACGAGGGAGTGAAGCGTACTCTGTCCAAGTTTGCGGATGACACAAAACTGTGGGGAGGAGTGGACACACCGGAGGGCAGGGAACAACTACAGGCAGACCTGGACAGGTTGGACAAATGGGCAGAAAACAATAGAATGCAATTCAACAAGGAGAAATGCAAAGT